GGGGGCAGGGTGGTCTGTGGGGGGGGGAACAGGGTGAGTTTAGGGGGAGCAGAAGGGGGTTGGGGTGAGCAGGGTGAGTTTGGGGTGAGTTTGGGGGGAGCAGGGTGAGTTTGGGGTGAGTTTGGGGGGAGCAGGGTGAGTTTGGGGTGAGTTTGGGGGGAGCAGGGTGGATCTGGGGACAAGTGGCCTCTCCCGAGGAAGGGGCTGAGGGGCAGGTGAGGGTGCTCTCAGGACCTGCTTCTGGGAACAGGGAATGCTCCTGGTTCCTCCAGGAATTCCTGCATCGGTTGGGGTGAGCAGGGTGAGTTTGGGGTGAGTTTGGGGGGAGCAGGGTGGATCTGGGGACAAGTGGCCTCTCCCGAGGAAGGGGCTGAGGGGCAGGTGAGGGTGCTCTCAGGACCTGCTTCTGGGAACAGGGAATGCTCCTGGTTCCTCCAGGAATTCCTGCATCCCTTAATCCCAGGAGGGGGTGCTGGAGGGGAGGGGGTGGCTCCTCCCTCGGAAGGGGGGACAAAGGTGGGCACCCAAACCCCCCCAAACCCTGTCCCTGGGCCAGCAGCCCCTTCCTGGGTGACCTTGGCAAGGCTGGAGGTGACAGAGTTCCTGGGAATTCCATGGTGTCCTTGGGAATAGGGCACAGCAGGAGTGCAGGGTTCCCCTGGGAGGGATGTGGTACCAGGACCCAGCTGTGCTCCCTGTGGGATGTGCTTCCAGCTGCTGAGGCAGAGCTTGGAATTCCTGGGAGATCTGTGGGCCTGGCTGTGAGTTCTTCCCTCCTGCTGCTCCACATCCCATGGGAGCCCCATCCCTGGGGAATGATGATGTTACCTCTCCACGTGGACCTGCCACGTGAGGAAATGGTGCAGTAGGAGGAAAGAAATGGGAGGAGGTGCAGGACTGGGGTTGTTGGTTGGGTTTTTTTGTTTGGAATACATAATAAGAACAGGAATAAATGAGACCCTGGCCCAGGTTGCCCAGGGAAGCTGTGGCTGCCCCATCCCTGGAAGTGTTGAAGGGCAGGTTGGATGGGGCTTGGAGCAGCCTGGAATGGTGGGAGGTGTCCCTGCCCATGCAGGGGGGTTGGATCTAGATGATCTTTCAGGTCCCTTCCGACCCAAACCTGTCAGAATTTCTCCCCAAGATCTCATCTCCATCTCCCCTCTTCCAATTTCAATCCATTCCCCCTGCTCCCATCCCTCCCTGCCCTTGTCCCAAGTCCCTCCCCAGCTTTCCTGGAGCCCCTTCAGGCACTGGAAGCTGCTCTCAGGTCTCCCTGGAGCCTTCTCTTCTCCAGGCTCAACACCCCAACTCTCCCAGCCTGGCTCCAGAGCTGCTCCAGCCCTCCCAGCATCTCCGGGGCCTCCTCTGGCCTCTCTCCAACAGCTCCATGTCCTTCTGGTGTTGGGGACCCCAGAGGTGGCCCCAGCCCTGCAGGGGGGTCTCAGCAGGGCATCACCTTCTCATTCCAAGTGGGAACACAGTGAGGAAGCAGCTCCTGATTCCCAGCTCTCTCTTCCAGCCACCAGCCCCTGTCCCCCAAATCCACTTTCTCCAGAGACTCGTTTGCTCCTCCTGGGTGATTTTTATTTCTTTACTTCCTCGTCTGCTCTTTCTTCTCCAGGTTTCTGGGCTGATAGGACCCCAGTCCACGAGGCAGCCAGGAGGGGGGAGATCCTGCAGCTGCAGCAGCTGATAGAGAGTGGAGCCTGTGTCAACTCTGTCACCTACGACTCCATCACCCCGCTGCATGAGGCCAGCCTGAGGGGGCAGACCCAGTGTGTCAAGCTGCTGCTGGATGCAGGAGCCCAGGTATCCCAGCATCACGGGTTGGAAAAGACCTCCAACATCATCCAGGCCAACCAACACCACCCCCAAGCTCTCCTGGGGGGATCTTGTTGGAGGGTGACTGTGTTTGAGGCTGTAGCTCTTGAAGTTGGAACAGGATTCGTATCACAGTGTCACTCTGGTGGGAAAAGACCTTCAAGGTCATCCAGGCCAACCACCACCCCAACATCAACCCCAACAACATCACCAACCACCTTCAACATCATTCAGGCCAACCACCCCACCCCAACACCACCCCCAAGCTCTCCTGGGGGGACCTGTTGGAGTGTCACTGTGCTTGTTGTTGTTGTAGCTCTTGCTGTTAGAACAGGATTAATTTCCTGGTTGGAAAAGACCTTCAAGATCAAGTCCAACCACCACCCCAACTCTGCCACGTCCAGCACTAAACCCTGTCCCCTCATCTGTCTTCTTAGATGTGTCCAGGGATGGTGGCTCAACCACCTCCTTGGACAGTCTGGATCACCCAGTCCAACTCCCACCCCAGAACAGGACAACCCCAGAGTTCAGACCATGTCCCCGAGGGCATTGTCCAGGACAAGAGGCAATGGTTTAAAGCTTAAAGAGGGGAGATTCTGGCTGGACTTTAGGAAAAAGTTCTTTCCTGTGAGGGTGGGGAGACCCTGGCCCGGGTTGCCCAGAGAAGCTGTGGCTGCCCCATCCCTGGCAGTGTTGAAGGGCAGGTTGGATGGGGCTTGGAGCAGCCTGGGCTGGTGGGAGGTGTCCCTGCCCATGCAGGGGGTTGGATGTAGATGATCTTTAAGGTCCCTTCACCCTAAACCCTTCTATGATTGTCAGGCTCAGTGCCATTACTTCTTCCCTGGGGAGTCTCTTCCAGTGCTCCACCACCTTCTGGGGGAAGAACGTCTTCCTAATGTCCATCCAAACGCCCACTCTGCATATCTTCCCACCATTCCCTCAGGTCCTGAGGGTCTGATCCCAACGGGAAGTTCTTCATCTCAGAATTTATTTCATCATCTGGATTCCCCATCTAGCTCTGGGCTCCATCACCCAGGGCTTTCTTGGCAGGCAGCAGAGGGTGGCAGGTCTCTGCAGAGGGTGTTTCCTCTTGGTGAGGACTTAAACACCTGCCTGGAAATACTTCTATCTGTCCCTCTCTCTTCATTCACTATCAAGAGCCCCGGGTGACTACAAATGTAATTTCATAGAATCATGGAATGGTTTGGGTTGGAAGGGACCTTAAAGATCATCTAGATCCAACACCTCTGCATGGGCAGGGACACCTCCCACCATTCCAGGCTGCTCCAAGCCCCATCCAACCTGCCCTTCAACACTGCCAGGGATGGGGCAGCCACAGCTTCCCTGGGCAACCTGGGCCAGGGTCTCTCCACCCTCACAGCCCAGAATTGCTCCCTCCCATCTCAGCTCCAGCTCCCTCTTCCAGCTGGAAACCCTTCCCCCTGCTCCCATCCCTCCCTGCCCTTGTCCCAAGCCCCTCCCCAGCTTTCCTGGAGCCCCTTCAGGCACTGGAAGCTGCTCTCAGGTCTCCCTGGAGCCTTCTCTTCTCCAGGCTCAACACCCCAACTCTCCCAGCCTGGCTCCAGAGCAGAGCTGCTCCCTCCATGAGCTCCATGGAGCTTCAAGGATCTGAAGCTGGCAGGGTTGAATCAAGAGGCCAGAGTGGGCACAGGGGACATGCAGCCTCCACAGGGGATTTATATTTACTCTTTTGCTGCTTCTTCTATTTCTTTAATTACATCATGGAAACAAAAATCGGCCAAACAGCATCTTTGGATGTTGCTGGTGACAACTGCCTTCAAGGCAGGTGACTTCTCACAGGCTTCTCATGTCTGTCCTCAGAGCAAACCCAGAGGAGGTGGGCTGTGTTACTCATCCTCAAGGCTTTCACCTTCAGCAGGGGAAGTGGGAGAAAAATAAAACCCAGTGGCAATAACTTCCCTGACTTGTGCCACGAACGTGCAGCTGTGCCCAGGGCACGATGGCAACAGCCCGAGCCTGAGCTGAGGGTAGCGACCAGCTCTTCCCCAAGCCCAGGATATTCCTTGAGGAAAAATGTAGACAGGAGGGTGTTAAAGAGAATCACAGAATTTAAAGAGAATCACAGAATTTAAAGAGAATCACAGAATTTAAATAGAATCACAGAATTTAAACAGAATCACAGAATCAGCAGGGCTGGAAAAGACCTTTACGATCAAGACCAACCCCACCCCGTAGGCCAGACCATGGACCATGGCACTAAGCGCCCCATCCAGCCTGTCCTTGAACACTTAAGTGTCACATCCGGCCTTTCCTTGAATGTTGCCACTCAGCACCTTGCAGGTAACCTGTCACACTTGTTTTTTTCCTGCCTGGAAGGTGGATGCCAGGAACATTGATGGCAGCACCCCGCTCTGCGACGCCTGCGCCTCGGGGAGCATCGAGTGTGTGAAGGTGCTGCTGTCCCATGGAGCCAAGGTGAACCCTCCCCTCTACACTGCATCCCCTCTCCACGAAGCCTGCATGAATGGTGAGCCCCCCACCCGTGGTCTTATCTTTGCACTAGTTGTTTTGCAGCTTGAAAAAAAAAAACAACAGCAAAAGGAGCTGCCAAGTATCTGAAATGGACCATCAGTTGTTGTTGCTCATTAGACCATCGCAACCTGCAAATATTTCAGCCCTATGTGGGCAGGAAGAATGCCAAGTGCTGGGTTATCTGGTGAATAAAGCTGTCCTGGGTGCTTTTATCCCACGTGGCAGACATGGGATGTTAGGCAGATAAAACACCAGCTTCTTGATGCTCTATTAAAAAGCCTCAAGCTGGAGCAGTAGCTTTGCTGTCAGGAGCTGAAGAGTGTTTATTTTCCTTCCCTCTCATCTGGTTGAGATGGGATCAGTTGCTTTGGTTAAGACCTAGAATCATAGAATCCCAGAATGGTTTGGGCTGGAAGGGACCTCAAAGATCATTTGGTTCCATCCCCTTGCCAAGGGCAGGGACACCTCCCACCAGCCCAGGCTGCCCCAAACCCCATCCAACCTGCCCTTCAACACTGCCAAGGATGGGGCAGCCACAGCTTCTCTGGGCAACCTTTTCTATCATCTCACCACCCTCACAGTGAATAATTTCCTTCTCATGTCTAACCTCAATCTCCCCTCTTCTCCTGTCTAACCTAAATCTTCGCCCCCTTCCCCCTCATCCCATCCCTCCCTGCCCTTGTCCCAAGCCCCTCCCCAGCTTTCCTGGAGCCCCTTCAGGCACTGGAAGCTGCTCTAAGGTCTCCCTGGAGCCTTCTCTTCTCCAGGCTGAACAACACGAGACCATCTTAACCAGGTGGTTCTGTCCCAGACCCCTCTGGCTGTTCAGAGCTGCTGGAGGAGGCTCTCAGGTGGGAAGAAAGTGCTAAGGATTGTCAGGCAGTGCTTGTCCTGCTCCTTGTCCCTGTCACAGCCTTTTCCAGTTGGAGAGTCTGTCCAGAGGATAAGAGAAAACCACAGGGGCCAAAATCATGTCCCAGATGGTGTTTATTAGCCACCTTCTCCTTCCCTGCCCGCTATTCAAGCCTCTTCTGGATCTTTGAGTCTGGATTAGGAGCAGGATCAAGCCTCAGGGGTGGCTGTGACAGCATCAGAGGCAGGGGGAGCAACAGAGGAGTATTTAGGTGTAATTAATTCCTGCCCTCAACTTCCATGGACTCAATAGCAGGGAGGCCTGGATGTAAGAGCCCCAACATCCTCGTTAGATGATTGTGACCAAACCTCTTCATCATTTTGTGTCTCAGCTTCCTCTTTGTAAGATGTAATACCTCCTCTCTCCTCCCCTTCACTGTTTTTGTTATCTGCTGTCCTGGACAGAGTTTCCTTTGGACTACAAAGGCTGTGGGAGGCAGCATTTTTGACCAACAGGTAGTTACTTCAATCCATAGCTGTGACTTCTTGCTTAGCTTTGCCTTTTTAAGCCTATTTCCTAAGGCTTGATGATGATGATCACTGCCTGCTTTCTGTCAACTGGTCTTATTAGCACTGGCAAAAATAAAGCTGGGGTGATCCTGAGGGTGCTAACTCACCCAGGGCAGGATCAAGAATCCAACCAGCTCCACCAACAAGAGGCAATTTAGTGCAAATCCTGGAATTCAGGTTGGTTGGACCTGACTCCTTGCCAGACCTGTTAGCTCTAGCTCAGTGCCCAGCAGATGTGGCTCTGTTTCTTGTGTCCTGGTCTTTGGTGTTGGTCCTACAGTGTGTTGTGTGGGCTCACCATCATTTCTGTTCTGCAGCCTTCACCCCAAATACTCAACAGGCTGTTGGTGGGACCAGCTGATCTCAGCACATGATGGGAATCGTGGAGTTGTTTTGGTTGGAAAAGACCTTGAAGATCAGCAGGTCCAACTGTTAACCCAGCCCTGCCAAGGCCCCCAATGACCCGTGTCCCTCAGCACCATCTCCAGGGCTTGGAAACCCCTCCAGGGATGGGGACTCCCCCCCTGCCCGGGGCAGCCTGGGCCAGGCCCTGACAACCCTTTCCAGGCAGAAGTTGTTCCAGATATCCAATCCAAACCTCTCCTGGCACAACTTGAGGCCGTTCCCTCTTGTCCCATCACTTGTTCCTGGGGAGAACAGACCAGCAGCCCCATCTGCTCCCATTCGAGCTGGATTCTTTCTTTTGACATGGATCTTCTCTTTCTAAAGGCAGCTCAGAGTGTGTGCAGCTCCTCATCGATGTGGGAGCCAACTTGGAGGCTCATGACTGCCATTTTGGGACACCCCTCCACGTGGCCTGTGCCAGGGAGCATCTGGACTGTGCAAAGTTGCTCCTCAAGGCAGGTAAGGCAGCATTTTTTTTTCAGCCTGTGCCTCTCAATTTCCAGTTTGTGATGCTCCCAGTGACGTTCCCATCCTCTTTGTTTTGATGACATTCAAGAACTCTTCAGCCCTCCCAAGAGCCAAGTTTCTTCCCCAAAAAGGTATCAAGTGGTGTGCACGTGTTCAGCTTTGGTGGCACAGTCTTGTGGTTTTGGATAGATGTGAGGGAGAGGTGTTAGGGTTTGATGTTGCACAGAAACCCAGAGATGAAGTCACCTCATCCCTCAGGGAGATGTGGTTTGTATTCATGCCCAGATGTTCCAAGTCAATGTTCTCTGCTCCAGGTTTCACATCCCCCTTTTCTTACTGCTGACACTTTGGGGCAATTTGGAGTTGGATTTCTTGCCTTTGCCTGTGCTTACCAGGAGGAGATTTGACCCAGGGATGGGAGCTTGTTTCATCCAGCAGTAGTTGTTTAAAAATTACACATCTAAGCTAGTTTCAGTCACAGAATCCCAGACAGGTTTGGGTTGGAAGGGATCTTAAAGATCATCCAGATCCAACCCCCCTGCATGGGCAGGGACACCTCCCACTATTCCAGGCTGCTCCAAGCCCCATCCAACCTGCCCTTCAACACTGCCAGGGATGGGGCAGCCACAGCTTCCCTGGGTTTGTTCCCAGATCCTCCAGTTCCCTGTCCTGGGCACCCATGAATTGGTCCCCCAGAAATGCCTGTTTCTCCTTGTTGATGAGAAGGGCATTTCATTGTGACCACAGTCACCTAAAAGTTGTTTGAATTCTCTGAGGTTCATCTCACCCCTGCTCAGCAAATAATTGCAGGTGGTTCTGGGGGGACCAGAAGGACCTTTTGCTCTCAGCTTCTCAAAGCAAAAATGTCAGTCACTAAAACTTGATCCCACAGTAGTGTCTGGTGATGAGCTGCACCATCTCCTGGGGCTGGGCCATTCCTGTTAAAATAGTTATCAAAGTTGTCACTGGTTTTCTCCAGTGGGAAGGGGGTTGGGATAACTGGGAATGTTTCTTTTGCTGGCTTTAGGTAGCACAGGTTCAGGAAGCAATTCAGAACTTCACACTCAGCAGCTTCTTTACCTGGTAACACAGACTTCCTCTGCCAGGGAAGCATCAAGCCAGAGGAGAAGACTCATTCCCTGCCAGCACCAAGAACTTGTTCAGCAGTTTTGGTTTCCAGTTTGTGCTGGTTTCTCAGGATCTTGTTCTGGCTGCTCCTGCCTGTTTTAACAGCATTTTTCTTGTCTCCAGTCAAACCACTCCTTATTTTTGGATCAAGTGAAGCTTTCATCACCAGGTTTGTTTCTCTTTCTGGCCTCAGGGGCAAACGTGAATGCTGCTAAACTGCACGAGACAGCCCTTCACCATGCAGCCAAAGTGAAAAATGTGGATCTGGTGGAGATGCTGATTGAATTTGGAGGGAACATTTACGCCAGGGACAACCGAGGGAAGAAACCATCCGATTACACCTGGAGCAGCAGCCCCACAGCAAAGTGCTTTGAGTTCTATGAAAGTAAGTGAGAAAAAATTTTTTTACTGTGAGAGTGACAGAGCACTGGAACAGACTGCCCAGGGAGGTTGTGGAGTCTCCCTCACTGGAGACATTCAAAACCCACCTGGATGAGTTCCTGTGTGATGTACTCTAGGTGACCCTGCTCTGGCAGGGGGGTTGGACTAGATGATCTCTCGAGGTCCCTTCCAGCCCCTAAGATTCTATGATTCTATGATTCTATGATATGCTCCCCCTGCCCCAGGAATTCCATGACTCCCAACTCCCTTGCACCACATCTAGATTCTCAGTCCACTTGGATTTGTAAGATCATCTTCCTGGGAAGGTGTAAAGTTCTTGGTGGCGAATGGATGGCAGCTGGTTGTAGGTTAGCTCTGCTTGGTTGTGGTTGAATGACAGTGGTAAGATGGTCCAGATCATGTCCTCACTGACCTAGGGTCTCTCTGGTGTGTCAGCAATGCTTTGGTGCACTAAGTCAGGTCAAAGAAATCACCCAGTTGAAAACTAATTTGATCTGAGTGTGTTCAACTTCAGTTGCTCTGTCTGCCTGATTTTGGAGGAGACATTTGGCTGAGGTTTGAGGATGGCTTGGAGTCACTCTTTGTCTTGGTTACCCTTAGAAGGTAACCAATCTACTGCTGCAGTGGATCATCCCACACATCACAGAGTCACAGAATGGTTTGGTTTGGAAGGGACTTTTGAAGACTATCTAGTCCTACCCCCCTGCCAAGGACAGGGACATCTTGCACTGGAATAGGCTGCTCCAAGCCCCATCCAACTTGTCCTTGAAGACTTCCAGGAATGGAGCATCCACAGCTTCTCTGGGCAACCTGTTCCAGTGTCTCACCACCCTCATAATAAAGAATTCTTCTGTATAGAAAGAAAAATTCCTTCTTTACAGAAGAACAAAGTGTCTTCTGGCTTTGCAGCCCCTTCTGTGGTGTCCACCTTTGTGGTCCCCTTGTCCCTCTAATTTGTCTTCTCCTTTCCAAGTTATTCTCTCTTTTAGAGACCAGTGAAGGGTGCTGGTCTGGCTGCAGCTGAGCTGGCTGAAGAGATTGAACCCTGCATGGCCACAAATACTCCTTGTATCTGAGCAGAGTTTCTTGCCCACTAAACCCAACTGCCAGAGCTGCACCTGCAGTTGCTTTTCCACACGGACTCTTGCATCACTACTGTGCCAGATTCCATAGTGTTGTTGTTTTTTCCCCCTTTTGGTTACTATCATTAAATCTGAGACACTGGATCCAGGATGGATGCAGATCCTGGAGGCTGGTGATTGCCAGGGCTGTGGGTTTAGGGACAGCAGCTTCTCAGGACTGGCCATGTCCAGAGCAACGTGCCTGGTTCTAATGCTGCGTGTCGAGGTTGGGGGCTGCAGGTTGGGGGCTGCATTGAGGGGGCTTGGGGAAGGGGCTGCTTTGCTGTCCTGAGACCCCACCTGAAGTCCTGTGGTCAGTTCTGGATCTCCCAACACAAGAAGGACATGGAGCTGTTGGAGAGAGGCCAGAGGAGGCCCCGGAGATGCTGGGAGGGCTGGAGCAGCTCTGCTCTGGAGCCAGGCTGGGAGAGTTGGGGTGTTGAGCCTGGAGAAGAGAAGGCTCCAGGGAGACCTTAGAGCAGCTTCCAGTGCCTGAAGGGGCTCCAGGAAAGCTGGGGAGGGACTTGGGACAAGGGCAGGGAGGGATAAAGCAGGGAGAGAATGGTTTTAAGCTGAAAAAGGATATTTAGGTAAGACATTAGGAAGAAATTCTTCACAATGATGGTGGGGAGAGCCTGGCCCAGGTTGGCCAGAGAAGCTGTGGCTGCCCCATCCCTGCCAGTGTTGAAGGGCAGGTTGGATGGGGCTTGGAGCAACCTGGTCTGGTGGGAGGTGTCCCTTCCCATGGCAGGGGGCTGGGACTGGATTATAATGTCCCTTCCAACCCAAACCAGTCTGTGATTCCATGGATTTTCCTGGTGATCTCAGCAGAGGGCTGAGTGAAAAGGGTTAAAGCACAGTCCTTGCTGGAGAAACAGCAGTAGGGAAGTGCTCCTGTACATGGCATTGCTGAGGCCTAAAACAGCATCTGTGAGTGAAACTGGAAAGTCCTGGATAGCCCCAGTGGCTCAGGGCAGGTGATCTGGTTGGTGGGCACCGTTTGGCTTCAGGGGAGGCAGGTGAGGGAGGGATCTTGCAGCTTCGCCCTGTGCTCCGGGTGGGATTTACGTCGGGATGATGAGCCTGGGCAGAACATCCACGGCTCTGCAGTGCCTCCCTTGGGCCTGGCTGCTGGGGGAGGTGGAAGGGACTTGTGAACATCACCCTTCTCAGAGGGCTGTGCTGGGCAGGAGCTGCAGCCCTCACCTGGGGTCCTTTTCTCTCCTTTCAGAAACTCCCCTGAGCTTGTCGCAGCTCTGCAGGGTCACGGTGAGGAAAGCTGCTGGGCAGAAGGCTCTGGAGAAGATTGCCAAGCTAAATATTCCTCCACGATTAATCCAGTACCTCTCCTACAACTGACAGGATGACAGGATGACACCTTTTAGCTCCTGCAGTGAGAAGTAGCTGTTTCCTTCTCTTCTACCTCCCCCCGGCTCCGAGAAATGAATTTTAATCCAAGCAAACAGGTGTAAATAGTACTGATGAGGCAGCACTTCATGCCCTTCCTCTTCTCTGTGGGTGAAGACAAGCTCAGGCAAGGTCTAGCACTGGTTTGGTGGTGTAACCTCTCCTGGGGGGACCTGTTGGAGTGTCACTGTGCTTGAGGCTGTAGCTCTTACTGTTGGAACAGGATTGATTTCCTGGTTGGAAAAGACCTTCAAGATCAAGTCCAACCACCACCCCAACTCTGCCATGTCCAGCACTAAACCCTCTCCCCTGTCCCCTCATCTGTCTTCTTAGATGTCTCCAGGGATGGTTGCTCAACTACCTCCTTGGACAGTCTGGATCACCCAGTCCAACTCCCACCCCAGAACAGGACAACCCTCAAGTTCACACCATGTGAACACAATTTTGCCTCATTTTTACTGTTCTCTAACCTCAAGGCATCTCCCCATCACCCAGCCAGGCTCCCTTTGCAGCCAGTGAAGAGAAACAGGTGCTTGTGGAGCATGATCCATCTGTCCTGTTTTAGCTGGGGTGACTCAGTGTCCCCCAGGATCACCTGTCTCCACTGGCTGGAAAGGGATTTAGAGCTGATGCCCTGGGATGTGGACATCTGTGTTCCTGCAGTGGGGCTGCTGCCTCCCACCTCTGTGTTCAGAACTCAAGTGACAACTGCCCTCATGCCAAGGGACAAAGCTTGAGGTGCCCCTGTGTGCTCAAGCTGGAGGCAAATTAAGTCCTCAGTAAGCTCAGGATGAATTAGGAGGCACTGCAGCTGGTTGCTGGCTTTCCATGAACACCAGGAGGGCTTTGGCTCAGCAGTGGGGACAAACTCCTGCCAGGCCAGGGGTGACTTGGCCCTTGCTCCTTCCTCCCAGAAGATGAGCCAGCCCTTACTGTGGGCTTATCACCACATCCAATTTTCAAGCCCAAGCCAAGAAGTTCTCTCAGCAGGTGCAACGATGCTCCCCCTCCACTTGGCTGGTCCCAAACAGTATTTCTCCCCTTGCTCTGAGCCACTGTGGCCACTCTCTTGGCTTGATGTGCAATAAGTGGCAGAGCTGCTGCCCAGTGGTGCCTGAGGCCTGGTGAGGACACATCCCTTGTCCCTGTGGTTTGTTCCCACAGGGAGGGCAGCAGGAGGGCTGAGTTCTGCCTTGGATTTTGAGTATTTTAGTTTTATTTCCCTCCCCCCTTCTGAGTTTCTCTCTCTGTGCTGGAGCCTCCTCAGGGGGGTTCAAGAGCTGAGGTGGAACTTGAATGCACTTTAATGGTGACCAGCAAACCACTTGGTATTTTAATTTTTGGTCAGGTTTGTGCCCTCTCACCCCTCCCTTGATCTGTTTGGTTGTTGGTTGGTTGTTGTATTGTTTTTCCTTTTGCTGTGCTGTGTCATATAGGACAGAAAAGTTCTCAAGATCCTGCCTTGTGGGGGATTGTTTTATAATTCTCATTTGTGTGTTTAAAGTATCAGAAATGTGAAATTGCCAAGAAGCTCAGGGAAGCCCTAGAGGTGTTTGTGGTGGGATTCATCCCTGTGATGGGCAGGATGGAGGTTTTGCATTGTGTCTCTCTCAAGAAAAGCTTCCTCTGCCCAACCTGCATGTCCTTACAGATAAATAGATAGTAGGAAAGTGCAGCCTTTGGTAGCCAGGGGTGAAAACCTCCCCTCTTGGTTCACATCCCTTATTTCACATATTCACATCCCTTATCAGGTGGCTTTTTTAACACTGCCTAAGCTGGTAAGATACTGAAATGGTGGAGTCCAAGTTTCCAATGTGAAAACAAAAGAAGAACCAAGAATAAAACTGCAAGTTCCTCTTTACACCATCTGCATCCTTTTTTTTTCCCCCCCTCCCCTCTCTTTCTAAGTCACCTCTTTGGTAGGTCCTGAAGTTTGGTTCTTTGTTTTTTACATCTCTTTTAAGAGGTCCTGCTGATCAACACGTGCAGCCAAGGAGGGACTTGGTGAGGGAGCATCTCATGTTGGGTGGCAATGGCCAGGCTCCTGCTGCAGCAGTTTGGGTTTGTTTAAGACATCCAGGTGGTTGTGGGTATGTCTGGAGGGAAAGATGTTCCAGGAAGGTCCTTTGGGAGCCAACCAGGTAGGAAACAAACACCCAAGTCCCTCCTGGTGTGCCATGGCATAAGGCAGGTGGCTGGATCCTGGTGGTGACCCAGTGGGTGTTCACTCCTGCCTTTCTGAACTGCAGGTGGAGATGGAGGCTTGAGGTTCATTTTCATCTTGGATCCAACCTGTCTCATCCTCAGTTCTTTTAATCCTGCAGGGATTTCTCAGCTGGTTCTGAAGCACCTTCTCAGCTGTTGTGTTTTCCAGCTCAGAGGAGAGGCAAAAGCAGATGCTGAGTTGAACTGATGTGGCATTTTGGCTTCTCTTGACATCTCAGACTTCAGCTTTTGTGGCAGGGGGTTGTTACTGCACGAGTAGCATCATCCATGCTGCAGCTGTGGTCTGGAGAGCTGGGAATCTCTGCAGCCATCCCAAATGAAGGTGAAAATGAGAAGCTGTGGAGGTAACATTGTCCTGACAAAGGGCTGGACGCTACGCTGGGGGTCAGGTTTGGGTCACTGTGTCCTCTCCTGATGAGTTGCTGAGGGCACCTTCACTTCCTCACACCTGAGGCTGTGGCAGGTTGTTGGAGAACCATCTGTCACCACCCAGGTTGGGCAATCCAAGGAGATTCAGATGAAAATGTTATGGTCCAAGGAAATGCTGGACCATCAAAGACCCCTCGATCGCATCAAGGTGACGTGACCCCCAAGGTCTGGGTTGGAACATCAGCTTCAGTTAGAAACAAAGAGGGAATAACTCATCCAAGATGGGACTTGGGTTGTTGTGTGTTCAGGCTGCACAAGCATGAAGGTTGATGCTCCCATTATAGAAGTCTCTGTGTCTCTGTGACCTGAGAAGAAATGGTGGTGGGCCTTGTGTTCCTTAACGGCTTTAGGAGTCATAGAATCATGGGATGGTTTGGGTGGGAAGGGACATTAAAGATCATCCAGTTCCAACCCCCTGCATGGGCAGGGACACCTCCCACCAGCCCAGGCTGCTCCAAGCCCCATCCAACCTGCCCTTCAACACTGCCAGGGATGAGGCAGCCACAGCTTCTCTGGGTAACCTGGGCCAGGGTCTCCCCACCCTCACAGGAAATAATTTCT